ACAGGATTTTACTATGAACCCCAAATTGTCCTCCAATTCGAGATCCTCCTGCCTCAGTGCTGGGATTACAGGTGTGTGCCACCACTCCCGGCACAGAAAAAAAATGTTTTAAAACTTTGAAAGCATAGGTTGAGGGTTCTCCCTTTCTAGTCTGATGGGACCAGAGGAAGGAAGCAGGTTTAATTTAGATGACACAGGCTCAGTAAAAAGCAAACATTATAAAAATAAGTAAGAAACGTCTCAGGAGAGTAAATGACCCTGGCTAATATTTAACAGCCTGTTTTGCCCCCAAGCAGCCACTTCTCTCCAGAACATCCTGGGGGAGGGGTCCTTGTCACCCCGCTGTGCAGATGGGGAGGAGCCTGACGCCCCTCAGAGAACAGAGGTCTCGGGTTCCAGGTTTCTCTGCTGGGCGCTGCCACCTGTTCTCTCCTCTGCAAAACCGCAGGCCACACCTCACGGTGGTGGGAGAGGGAGGGCTGGGCGCTGGAAAATGCCTCCATCGCCAGACATTCCATCCATCGTCCTCAGCCTCGCAGAACCGGGTCACCAGATGGTTTCGGCTTTTGAAAGCAGCTGGGGGCTGTTTGCAGCCAAGCCTGGTGACAGCACTATCTAAGTAGTGCTGTCGTTTTTTTTTTTTTTTTCCTTGCAGTGCTGGGGCTTGAACTCAGGGCCTTCACCTTGAGCCACTCCAACCAGCCCTTTTTTGTGAAGGTTTTTTTGAGATAGGGTCTTGAGAACTATTTCCCCAGCTGGCTTTGAGCCGCGATCCTACTGATCTCTGCCTCCTGAGTAGCTGGGATTACAGGCGTGAGCACCGACGCCCTGTGTAAGAAATGGGGTAATTTGGGGCCGTGGAGGTGGTGCACCCAGTGCTGCCCCCCTTGGCCACCACGGAGGCCACAGGCACAGCCACAGCTGGTAGGAACTGAGATGTGTTGCAGCTACACACCAGACTGGGAAGACTTCACAAACGCAAAATACCATCTGGGTGTGTGATACACGCCTGTAATCTCAGCCACTCACGAGGCAGATAGGGTGATTTCCAGTTTGAGGCCGCCCCTAGGAAAAAGGTTAGACCGTATCTGGAAAATACAGGAAAACAAAAAGGACTGGGGTGTGGCACCCCAGTACTGAAGAAGAAAAAGAAAGGTAGAACTACTTACTATACTCTAAAATGATTGTATTTTGGATATGTTGGGTTAAAAAAAACCCATTATTAAAGTTAACTTCACTTGCCTCTTTTCCTTTTTTAAAACGTGGCTACTAGAACATTGTAAGCTGTCTGTGTGGCTCATAGGTTTTTATTAGGTATGACTGCTCTAGAGAAAGGGAGTTCAGCCAGACACCGTGGCTCACACCTGTAATCCCAGTTACTCAGGAGGCTGAGATTGGGAGGCTCGAGGTTCCAGACCAGCCTGGGCAAATGGTTCATGAGACCCCATCTCCACAGAAAAATCTGGGTGTGGTGGTGCACACCCGTCATCCCAGCTACCGTGGAAAGCATGAAGTGGGGGGCTCATGGGCCAGGCCAGCCTGAGCATAAAGTGAGACCCCATCTCCAAGATAACCAGAGCCGAAGGGTGGAGTGTGGCTCATGTCACCCTGGGTACCTGCCCAGCAAGCACAGAGCCCTGAGTTCAAACCCCAGTGCTGTCAGAAAAGAAGAGTCCGTGTTGTGCGTCCTTAGAACAAGGACGGGGCTTTTTCAGATGATAACTGGGAAATACAACATTTTCTCTTTGGGATCTGATTTTTTTTTTGGTGGTGCTGGGTTTGAACTCAGGGCCTTGTACTTGGGCGGCAGGCGCTCTGTCACTTGAGTCACGTCCCAGCCCTTTTTGCTTTAGTTATTTTGGAATACGGAGTCAAGTTTATGCTGGGCCCTCCCGGACCGCCATCGTCCTGCGTAGCTGGGATGTCAGGCGTGAGCCACCGTGGCCGGCACGATGTGACTTGTCAAGGTTTGTAACTTGGGTGTCACGTGTCATGGCGCGCAATGAAGTGTTCAGACGGTAAGTGTCACTGTGGTTAAGATGAGGGAGCGCCATCCCCTCAGCCGCGAGCGGCCAGAGGCCACCCCAAGAGGTTGGCTGGGACGCGAAAATGACAGGAAAGTCAAGCGTCGGCCATTCGTGATTATAGTCCCCATGTCATATAGCCACACCCAGGGTGCTTGTCTAGAGCCAGGCTCACCCTGCAAGGACAGAATTGGCGGTCACGTCAGAGGCCGGCTGGCCCGAGGAGCCGAAAGTGTTTCCTCTCTGGCTCTTTGCAGAGTGAGTTTGCTGACTGGCTGCTGGACGGAGGGATGGGCTTTCTTCTGAGACCACCGTGGGAGAGGCCGGGTTAGGAGCCCAAGATGGGGGTCCTGGGTGAAGTCCAGGTGTGGAGGAGGTGTCTATAGCCCCGGGCTGTGTCCCCAGGACAGGTGATTGTTGAGGGCGAGTCTGCCGTGGGGGACCTTGGCCAGGCCCCGGGGGCAGGGCAGCTCCTGGCTGGCTTACTGTGATTCAGGACTGACCGCAGCCACAAAGACAACTGAACACACGAGGAGGGGACAGGGAAGGGGCGGAAGTCCAAGTCCCCTCTGAGACAGGCCCCCTGCGTCCTGCCAAGGCAGCTGGGACCCCCCCCACCCCGCCCTCTGCCCCAAAGCTTAGCCAAGCCCAGAGGTGAGCAGGTTTAGGCAGCACCCTCGATCGACTCTAGATTTTTGGAGAAAAGTGACAGATGCAGACAGATCAAAACCCAGCACCCCAACCGTGACACAGTGTGCGAGTGCACACAGAGCAGCACTCAGCACCCAGACTCCAGACTGTCCCCCGCCCCAGCCCCGGGCCACCTCCACCCTACCGTCTAGGGACCGCCTGTGAGTGGAGTCACTCAGTGCTTGTCATTTGTGCCTGGCTTACAGTCACATATGTGCTGAGGGGGGGGGTCCCATGACATTCTGTATGCCCAAGGGACGGTGTAGCCGTATCAGCTTGCGTAAGCACAGTGTGTAGCGTTCGCACAGCAGGTGTCCCTGGTGACAAGTTGCTCGGAACGTCTCTGTCGTTAGCATAGCAGTGTTTCACTGGCATGATGTCCTCAAGCCCCTTCCACAGTGTAGCAGTGTGGAAGGAAGGAATTTCCTTCCTTTTGAGGGATGAATAATATTCCACAGCACCACATTTTGTCGGCAGCTGATAATTTTTATCATATTGGCCTCAGGTGTTTCAAAGAGGTGACACTGAAGCCTCTGTGAGTCGCTCCCAGCCCAGGCCCCTTGCAGGCTTCATTATTTTTATTGCTTTTTTTTTATTGTTGAGCTGGGTGGGGTACATTGTGGCATTTACAAAAGTTCTTCCAGTATATCAACTATCTCGTACCTGTATTCACTGCCTCCACCATTCTCCTTCATTGCCCCCTGCCCCCGTAGTACTGGGATTTGAACTCAGTGCCTCGTGCTTGCTAGGCAGGCGCTCTACCATTTGAGCCGTGCCCCCCAGCCCATTTTGCTTTAGTTATTTTTTGAGATAGGGTCTGGCTCTATGCCCAGGCTGGCTGGAAGGTGATCCTCCATTTTCCACCTCCTGCGTAGCTGAGACCACAGGTGCACACCACCACGCCCAGCTTTTTCTGGTTGGGATGGGGTCTTGAGAACTCTATGCCAGGCTGGGCTTGAACGGTGACCCTCCTGATCTCTGTCTCCCAAGTAGCTAGGATTACAGGCGTGAGCCACCACGCCCAACCTGGCCCCTGCACACTCTTACGAAGCTGGCCTGCACCTGCCAACCGTGCCCTGAGGCCTGGACGGCCATAACCCATGACCTGGACACAGCACCATGGGGTGCCTGTGCCTTCGTTTGGACAGACGATGTCATGGCTGAGATACCATCCTCGTGCAAACCTCTGCTGATTCTCGCTGCTGCCCAGGCCTTTGGCGGTTCCCAACTGTTGTTGGTGCAAACCCACTGCCGGAGTGTCCTCCCGGTGTCCCCTCCCACGACAGGTTGCAGCGGCTTCTCGAGAGTCTTCCAAATGCTTTGGTCACCAGCTACATCCTACACACACTGGGAACAACCTCCTCAATTGGTGATGGGGTCACGTCACAACACACCCTGAAAATATTCTAAGTCAAGAAGAAAGTATGGCCAAACATCACCAGCGCGGGAAAGGACCCAAATTCCAAAGCTGATGCTTGGAGCTGGCGGAGTGGTTCACGTGGTAGAGCGTCTGCCCGGGAAGCGTGAGGTCCTGAGTTCAAACCTCAGTACCGCCAAAACCTGAAGTTTGGCTTCCAGCTGATGTTGCTTTTGCAGCACCATAAACGTGAGCCACTAGAAGTCAAGTCCCTTTTGATCGTTCTCGGCGTTTTGGTTTTCCTCCTGTGTGACCCCGCGTTTTCTCTGGTGGGACATTGGTTCATCTCGTGGTGCCTTTTAGTTCTTTATGTGTTTTGGATTCTGTTCCTCTTGTTTCTGGGGTTTTTTTTTTGTTTGTTTGTTTGTTTGTTTTAATGATTGTATGGAAACTCAGGTTCTTCAAATACGTGTGACACCCTAGGCACCGGTATGCCGGGAGTACTCAGGGTGGGAGAGGAGGAGGCCAGAGGGACAGGAAGGAGGAAGGGACAAGAGGTGCAGGGAGGAGAGGAGAGGCTCACTGCTGATGGCATGGTGGAAACTGCGCAGGGAGAAACCCGGAGGGTTCTGAGATTGCCCCTTGGAAACAGGTTTCCTGCAGCCTAGCGTTCCCGGCAGGTGATCCGGCAGTGTCTACAAACACTTTTGGCTGTCACACCAGGCAGAGAGGTGCAGTGGCAAGGGGGAGGTTACACCCAGGACAAAGAATGGCCAGCCGAGGTGGAGACCCCGGCCTGCCCTGCGGGTACCCCTGTGCCAGCAGGGCGTCTGATGGCATGAGGCAGGATGCAGCCCCGCGGACGCCCTGCACTGCCCGAGGCCTTGCCCGTGGCCTTGACCGTGGTGTACCCCTCTCTTCCTCCCCAGCAGGTCTGACGAGCCCTGCCTGGGCCCAAGCACGCGGAGGATGGAAACACGTGCCCGGCAATGCCTCTGGGCCGCCTCCTTCGTCGGGCCTCCCCCAAAACCTCAGACCTCCTGACCCTCACTGGTGGTGGGGGGTCCCTCTCGGTCCTGGATGGGGAGATCATCTACTCCAAGAACAACGTCTGCGTGCACCCGCCCGAGGGCCTGCAGGGGCTGGGGGAGCACCACCCAGGTGAGGCGGGAGGGGAGGCCCGAGGTCACAGTCCTGGGGAGGAGAGGGCTCAAAGCTGGGAGTAATAGGAGAAGTCCTCAGGAAGTCACTGGTCCATTTGCCTCTGCCGTGGGCGCTCACCCTGTGGGAATTACGGACCAGGATTCTCTGCTGGCTCTGCAGGGGGAGACATGAAGGGAACTTTCCAGAACTGTGCTGGAACTCTGCATCACCTGCGGCCACTCCGGGCACTCTCAGGCTCCCTGGGGTTCTGAGTCAGGGTCCAGAGGGGCCATGGCCACAGTGCCCAGGAAAGACAGGAGCGTTTGGCTCTAACAAGTCCTGTAGATGACTGGCTGGGCCTCCGGAGGCGGACGGGGTGCTAGATCCAGCTCACAGCGAGCTGCGTGAGTCCCTCAGCCCTGCTGCCCCTGAGGAGGGAACAGTGTGATGCCAGAGGCCTGCACGGCCCTTCGTCATTCGTGTGGTGACATTCAACAAGTAAATGCACCACTTTATTCCTGTGTCGGTGTGTTCCACTGGCACTGCGGCCTTCGGTGGAGGAGGACATAGGTGCTCAGAGAGGCCAAATGGCCCTGGCGCACACAGGGCCAGGCTCCCCACAAGCCTTCCTACTGCTCCCTGGGCTGCCAGAGAGTCTTGCTTCCTCTCTTCTCCTGGGGCCGGGGCAGGAGTGCGGCCTGAGGCCCACATGTGCAAATACTTACTTATATCAATGTACCCCAGGCTGGCCTTGAACCTGGATCCTCCTGCCTCAGCCCTCTGAGGGATGGGGTTACAGGCATGGCTACCACGCCGTGTTTTCAAGGTATTTAAAAGCAATGAATGACCTTGAGAAGGGAGCATTTCGCTGTGCAAATTTTGTTTCAATGGAGTCCTAGATGAGTAAGTTATCAAACAGGGCAGAGTTTAAGTTATACTAATGAAGTATTTAAAGAAATGCTCCCAGCTGGGTGTTTGTGGCTCATGCCTGTAATCCTAATTACTTAGGAGGCTGAGATTGGGAGGATCACCATTTGAGGCCAGTGTTTGAGGCCCAAGCCTGGGCAAATGGTTTAAGAGACCCCGTTTCCAAAATAATCAGAGCAAAATGGGCTGGAGGTATGGCTCAAGTGGTAGAGTGCCTGCTTTGCAAGCATGAAACCCCGAGTTCAAACCCCAGTACCGCAAAAAATTTAAAAAGTTTAAAAATTTTAAAAAGGAAAAACCCCTTCCTCCAAAACACTGTACTGAAAAGACAAAAAAAAAGTAACAGTGGCACAGCCGATCGGAGAAGGTCAGGCACTGCCATCTTGGATTTGTCCTTGTTGTGAACTGGAAAAGGGCGACCCACGGGCACAGCAGGGCCCGCTGGGCTCACCCAGATATGGGGGCTGAACGCCGGCAGCAGGATGGTCAGTCAGGGGTTCTGAGCCCAGCAGAACCGGTTCTGCGCAGCAGGCCGGTGCTCGGGGCCAGTGCCCAGACCTGCTGGAAGTCCACGGGCTTAGAAAATACCCATCACCTAGATCCATGAGTGTCTCAGCCCTGTGCACTGGGGCATTCTGTGTGGGGCAAGACTCGTGCCCTGCCGGGTGCCCCAGGAACAGCCTAAGTTGCTCACAGCCCGCACGGCCTCACTAACCACCTGTGCGTGACTCCCACAGGCTACCTGGGCTTGTACCTGGAGAAGGATGAACTCCTGGGGACCACGCTCATCCTCGCGTGGGTCCCCAACTCCCGCATCCAGAGGCAGGATGAGGAGGCCCTGCGTTACATCACTCCCGAGAGCTCCCCCGTGCACCAGGCACCCCGCCCTCGGCGCCGGCACACCCCAAGCTTGGGGGCTCCCCACCAGGCCTCCCCCATGGAGCCAAGGCCCACCCTGACCCCCAAAGATGAGGATATCCTGGTGGTGGCCCAGAGTACCCAGGACACTGGGCACATCAGCCCATCGCCCGAGGATGGGGAGAAGCTGGCCCAGGGCCCAGGGGTGGACAGTCCCCTCCCCGCCTCAAAGCCAGCCCACAGCGACTCCGGAATCTTATCTACGGTCGGTTCTCAGGATGGGACTGAGGATGGCCGGGAGCCACGGCCCGAGACTGGGGAGGAAGAGGGCTCCTTGGAGCTGTTGGCCGATGGCGTGAGCAGGGGCAGCTCCTTCGACTCAGACTCGGACGCCTTCTCTTCGCCCTTCTGCCTCTCGCCCATCAGTGTGCTCTTGGAGAGGGCAGCAGCTCAGCGTTCCTGGAGAGCGAGGGCAGGTGAGTTCCGAATTCCGGGGCCCCCAGGTCTGACCCTGGCTGTGGGAAGCGGGCGCCTGGTCACCCTGCCCACCTACCTGCCCAGTCCTGCAACTGCTGCAGGCTCGGGTCCCATCTCTGAGGCCCTGCCAGGTGACGAGGATGCGAAGTGCTGTGTCCTTGCCGTCTTGCAGCTGTCTCTCCCATTTGCAGACTTACCCAGGACTACACGGTAGCCGCCAGGTCTGACCACCCCTGACTAAGGCCATGTCTTCAGGAGTCCTGAGTCCTTCTGTTCTCATGAGGCAGGGAGCACACCAGGCTCGTGACCGGGCCCATTGGGGCTCCTCCAGCCGCAGAGATGGGAATGTAGCCACAGAGACGGCTGTGGACCCACAGGGAGCTGGGGCACCCGGCTCCCTGTGGGTGAACTCTGTGGCATATGCACGTTTTCCTGGGTCACGAGTGGGCAGGAGGTGGACCTGTACCTTGCAGTGGGCTCTCTGGCCTTGGAGCCCAAGGAGAGGACCTTGATGGAGGAGGACTGTCACAGGATTCGCCACTCAGTGTAGTCTGGGTCCTCAGGGCTCACAGAGGTGGGCACACACCAGCCCAGGGAAACAGAGAAAGCCCAGGTGGGCACGTCGGAGCCCAGCATCTCCGTATGCTCTGGACGTGATACTTTCTCACTAGATGTAGGTAGATCATGGCGAGAATGACAGGCAGTGGTAAGAGCCGGCTGTCCTTTGCTGGTCAGCACATGCTGTTATTGATGGCCTGAGCTCCACAGGGCACAGGGTCAGCAGGCTGAAGATGGTGTTTCTTTATGCTTTCGGTGACTCCAGGCCAGGGGAGACAGGTCCCAGTCTTATCCCCTTTTCATGGAAGGGAGAAGGGAGGCTTAGAGAAGGTAAGTGGCTTGCCGGAGGGCACCAGCCACTGCACAGCCCGGCCTGGATTTGAACCTTGCTGGGTCTTATTCAGGGCTGGAGCACACACGGTCACGCGGACCACTGTGATAAGCCAGGTGGCCCAGAGCAGGGCAGAGGGACACAGGACGCCTCTCTGGCTCCACCAGAAGGAAGGCGAGATGGATCTTGTCCTGATTTTACTCCGCAATAAGATGTGGTCCATTAGAGCTCCAGAGAGAAGCCATGACTGTTGCAGTTGAGAGCCGTCGGCCGCGAGGACTCCAGGGCCCACTGAGCCTTGCTGAGCCCTGCGGTGTCCTGGCAGGAACTGACTGGGTCTCCCGGTGCGGCTCAGTCAGCGCGCCCCCTGGTGGTGCCATGCTGGCAGTGCAATGGTGTCAGTGGGTGTCCAGGCACCTCAGGGCCTAGGGGGAGCAAAAAGTGTCCTTGCCTCGCCTTCTCCCTTGCTCTGCCCCAGACTGGTGACAGCTGTGGCCTATGGTCTTTGGTTGGGGAAGTAGTGAAAAACTCGAACCAGAACCTGCCCTGTCGGGCAGCCCCACTGGTCAGGAGCTTGGATTTGGGAATGTGGGAGCTGCTTGCTGGCTGAGCCCTGGCACCCCTGGTTGGTGTGAGCCTGTAGCCTCAGTTTCCCCCTGTAAGGAAGGCATAGTAACATTGTGGGCAGGCACACCCAGTTCCCATTCCCCGCCCTCTGCTTGGTGGCTGTTTACCCTGGCTGCTCTGGAGACCCCAAACCATGGACCTTTCACACTGCCCTGATGTCCAGGTGTCTCGGTGGCTTCTGGAGTAGTGATTCTCATCCAGGGTGGAGTCTGTCCCCAGGGGACAAGTGGCACCAACAGGAGGTGTTTTTGTCATAGCTGAGGGTAGGGTGTGGTTGAATTCCAGTGGTGGAGGCCAGGGATGCAACTGGGCTCTCTCTAGTGGCTAAGTGGCCCTTGCTCGCTCTGTGGCCCCACCCTCCTGGACACACCTGTACTTGAGCCCTGGCCTCTTTGTCAACACACTGTACTCCCCGCCGTGGGTTCCCTGACCGCCTCCTGCCCCTAACCAGCCAACGTGTGTGTGAGACTCAGCTCTGGCGGGGCCTTCGTGTGAGCCGATGGGGGACGCTCCTCTCCCTGCACGTCTCTCCCCACGGGGGCCCAGCTTGCCCAAGGCCGCCCACCCTGCCTGCAGCTGTCAGGAGGCACAGTGTGACCTTGGGAAACTGACACCCTGGCTTCACCTGCTGGTTGTGATCTCAGGCACCCGAAACAGATCCACAGGTGTGAAACTCAGCGCAAAGCCCCTTGAAGGGCTGGTCAGTGTGGGGGTTGAGTGTGTGATCAGTGAGCCTGGCCCCAAAGCCAGCTTTCACCAGAGGCTGGCATGGGAGTGGTCACTCGCTCCTGTCCCCCCTTACTATGAAGTGCAGGAAACGCTTTTGGGCCTCACAGCTGCTCATCCTTCCGGCTGCTCTCCCTGCCATGGCGTCCCCAACGGGCCCATGGTGCCTGCCCTTCCCGCCCACCTCTGCAGTCTAGCTGAGTGAGGTTCGATGCGCACACTGTGTTTGTCCGTTTTCTGTTCCTATAACAAAACTCCTGAGCCTGGGCGTATATATAAAGAACAAAGGTGTATTTAGCCTACGGTTTAGAACCCTAAGACATCTGAGAACCAGCATCCCCTTGATTCAGCTTCTGGTGAGGGCCCTGTCAGCTACATCACGTCATGGCTGAGGTTGTCAGAAACCAGAGCACGGGGAGGGGCTGGGCTTGCTGTTGTTTTGGAGTGGACAGTGCTATATGGGGTTTGCACTCAGGCGCTCTACAGCTTGAGCCGCACCTCCAGCCTGGGCTTACTGTTTCATAACAACCCTCCAGAGAAGAACAACCGGGAGAACCACATTGATTTCTTCTCAGTGACCTAATGGTCCTGCACTAGGCCCTACTCTCGAAGGATCCACCACTTCTCAACACAGCCACTGTGAGGTTCAAGTTCCCAGCACAGGAGCTCTCAGGAGACACAGAGAACACATCCAGTCCCTAGCCCACAGTCAGGAGCAGCTCTGAGCTGAGAAAAGATGGACAGGACAGGCACCCCTCCCTGCCTCCTGGGAGCCCGTGCTTCCATCCAGGGATGGTGTGAACTCACCTGTCTTCAAGTCAGGAGTGTGACATGGAGGCACAGTGGCCCAGCTCCCACCCTGTCACACGTCACGCACGACAGACTGCCAGACGCTTTCATGTAGAAGGGGGCCCTGGGCTCTCCATTTCTCCAGCTTGCTTTTTCCTTCTTATGCCCAGTGTGCTGTCTTGGGCCCTTGAAAGCAAAGATGGTGCTCCTTGCCCGGTCCTCATCCCCTGTGGCACCTGGTGCTCCATGGCAGGTTGTATTGGATATTTACAACAGCCATCCCCAACTGGATCACTCACGGGAACCCACTGGGCAGCTTCTGAAAGTCCCAATGCCTGACCACATGCAGTCCGCGTAAACCAGCACGACTTGGAGGGGCAGGGTGTCTGAGCCCCAAGGGTTTCCAATTGCAGGAGACTTGAGAACCACCACCGTGAAGTAGTCCTGGAGAGAGAGGAAGGGCCTTGTGTGCTGGGACAGGGCGGGCATCAGGGCCGGGATTGGCTTTGCCTGCACCAAGTGCCCTTCCTGGAGTCAGACAGCCTAGTTACCTGGGCCTTGAGCTCCAGGAGGGCAGGGCAGGTACACTGGCTCACGGGCGCCCTCTAGTGGCAGCACTGAAGAACTACACGTGCAGGCTGACTAGCTGGCTGGGCTGGGCTCTGGCCCTGGCAATGGCAGAGCACCCAAACATTTTCATTTATTTCATTTTTTAACCGCTCAGAAGAGCTGAGCAGTTAAAAGCCTGGCCGTGTCCCCTGGGCTCTACACGTTTGTGTGCTGCCTGTAGGGTGCAGTTGGGCAGGTTCCCAGAAAGCCAGGCCACCTGCCAAGCCTGAGGTCTTCCTGTGACCCTCTGGTCCCCAGCACAATGATAGCTGGGAAGTCTGTGACTCACCAAGGTCTCCTTGGAGGTGGGTTGCCTCCGACCCATCTAACAGACCGGCCTCCGATTGCCTGGGCTCTTGCGAGCAGGGCCTGGGTTCGGGGAGCCCGCTAGTCCCTCCCTTCTCTGCGGCCAGCAACCAGGCTCTGATGGGGCTGAGGATGTCACCAGGCAGGGCCCATGGGCATCACCGTCATTCACTTCTGTTCAGGGAGCCAGCCAGCAAGGCCCCTGTGTGCCCACATGGGTCAGGTGGCCCTGACCTGGGGACCTGCTGGACCAGCAGCCGGCAGGCAGCTTTGCCTTTCTGAGCACAAATGCCTCTTCAGAGCTCATCCTAAGAAATAACCCAAGGCACAAGAGAAACGTTCACCGCAATGACACGGTGTTCTTCAGAGTGGGGAAGAAAGGAAAATAACCCAGAGAAGGAAGTGAGTCAGATAAGCTTCCCCACCGGCTCGGCCGACCCTGGCTTTGTGGGTGTGCTCCTGGGTCCCCGTGTTTGTGAGGGGGAACGCCGGCTGCCTTTGCAAGGTTCAGAACCGTGGCAGCACCGGGTGCAAGAATCCACGGGGTCAAGAGGCCTGTGCCACGGCCCGGGAGTTCGGCGTGCATCAGAAACAGAGCAGGGGGAAGGGTGACTGCACACCACGACTAAACCGTGGACAGGCTGGGGTGTGAGCGAGGTGCGCACGGCAGCGCTGCCCGGCAGGACATCCACCGGGATGGACATGTCCAGATCTGGGTCGTCCAGCACAGTACCACTTGCTTGTGCAGCTGTTGGGCCCCTGTAGCATGGTATGTGCACGTGAGAAGCCAGGTTTCTAATTTATGTCCTGTTGATTAACATAAGTTTAAGTGGCAAGCCGGGCGCCTGTGCGCATACGTGCAATTCTGGCTACTTAGGAGGCTGAGATCAGGAGGACTGCAGTTCGAGGCCAGCCCAGGCAAACAGTTTGAGAGACACCCCACCCCCATCTCCAAAATAACCAGAGCAAAATGGGCTGGAGGTGTGGCTCAAGTGGTAGAGCACTTCTTTTGCAAACTTGAAGCCCTGAGTTCAAACCCCAGCCCCACCAAAA